TAAAAAGCCAAACACTAAATAGCTTCAGCATTTCATCTAGTGCAGATGATTATTGTCATTTTTCTTTTAAATGTTTATTATAGAAATAATAGTAGATAAGAAAAAGAGGATTAATTGCATTTTAATGCTTTTACTTTGTCATTTTATTGTGACTTTTTTAAATAATCTTTAAGGCGGATAATCTAAATATGTTATTTATTTCGTAATAATATACACTTATATAATGCCTAATTTAAATAAAAAAACTGATTACTCAGTCAAGGGTATATTTAATTTATAAACGAAATATATAAAAGGAGAAGTTGTGGATAAAATTTGTGGATTTATTATCCCTTTAAAGTATCAATTTATTCAACTTCCTTTTTTTTTTTCTTTCATAACAAGTTTTTCTAAATTGGAAAATATACATTGTTAGAATTAGGAACAATGTATATTTATAATTCTTTTTTAATAATAACTTTTTTAACTAAATAATATTAATAACTTTTTTATCTTGTTTTATTTAATTTTAATATAAAAAATTCAAGTAAAATTGAGTCATTCCCATTGCATATTAGAATTAGAACTAGATTTCTCACTAGAACTTAAGGGGTCATCCAACAATACATCGAGGCTGTCTCTAAAATTATCTTGAAAATTTTTGAAAAACAAAATAACTTAAGAGTAAGTAGAGGCGACCATAAGTAACAAATAGCACACAGTTTCTCATCTATCTTTATGTCACTAAAGTATATTCAACCGATTGTCTGTGCAACAACATGAAATCGCTACACAATGACTGTTACTAGACGCACAACATCAATAGGAAACTCGTGTTTGCCTTAGAATAATATGCAAGGTAGCCTAAGACTCGTTTTATTCAAGAATGACGAATTCCTTTTAGCACGAGCTGAATCGTAGTATTCTAAAAAAAAAAATATATAAATATGAAAAACGAATATACACGAGTTAATAAGGTTAAATGAAGGGATGGCAATGTTAAAAGGGTGCTCACAAGTAAAAAAAAATGAAAATTGCTGAGATATCGAAGTTTTTTACTTCTAATTTCTTTTCATGTTTCATTTTTATTTTCCAGATCCCCCGTCTCCCGTGCGTTTCACCATTTCTCCAATAGGAAAGATGATCCTCGAGACTCCCATGCTGGTTGCCATGGGGATGAAGGACGCTAAAGTTGAGGCCACCGTTTCAAGGGAGACGAGAAGGTTATGGAAGCTTCTGGGGACGTTAGAGAAGTGAACCTAGATAAATTAATCCCTGAAGAAAGCTATGACTTGTTGGTTAAATCGCTAGACTCCGATTGGAAACACAGTCTTTCTTTTAACGCAGGTGGGACATTATTTTTTGTTATCAATTCTCAATAAAAAATTATATTTAAATAAATAAATAATGCATGAATGCACCGATCAGCAAAAACTTCGTTCCGTAATTTTAAGCCGATATGTACAATTTGTGGATAACAACAATTGCAATTTGTAGACAAATGTATTTTTATGTTTCGCACAAAAGTACATTTCATAAAAGTCTAATTCATTTTCTCCTAAATATTTGTGTGTGTGTGTGTGAAAAATACTAAATCTTCTAAACGTAAAGAAAGGAAAGATTTAAAGGAATCAGAATTTCACAAAAATAAACAAAATGTGGCGTTCATCTCCTTATCGGTGTGTGCTAATGGATGAAAAATACCTGGTATGAAGTTACAGAGAAAGAAATTAAAAGCTCATTACACAATACCAAATTAATACAAAACTGGACTTACGTATTAACAGTACCTTGGCGACGAACTTGGCGGTTTTTAAGTGTCGCCAATCTTTATTATTTGGAATAAAAATATTTTGAAAGCGTTTTTGATTTTAAATGAAGTGTTTCATATATATTTTATTATTTGGAACAAAAATTTTAAGTGTAGATTGGCGCTAAATCTATAGCTGCGGTTGGCGCGTGTGCTCTTTATTGGCGCAACTGCCGCCAAGGTACCGTTAATACGTAAGTACCCAAAACTGTGATACTTAACAAGATTTTTATCTCTACCTAGTAAATAAGATAACAACTCATAGAAAGAATATCACAAGCATTTCTTTTAACTTAGTTCTTAAACGTATGCCTTCTTTCCGCTTTACAAAATCTTAAATATATAAATTTTTCAAATTGTAGCATCAAAAGCTCTCATTAAACCTAAAAACATTTTTTTCTAGTTTTTATATCATCGATATAAAAATAATTTCGAAACATTTCGCAAATAGACATTGACACTTTCATCTTATCAGTTTTTTTTTTTTTTTTTTTTTTTTTTTTTTTTTTTTTTTTATTTTTCACACATTAAACCTGCCAATTTTGGTTGGCGAAAAGCATTTTTAAGTGAAGGTTTTTAGAAATTAAACTTTTATGATTCATAGGGAAGAAAAATTGTTCACATATTGTATGCAGCGGCCTATAATATACACACCGAAATTTTAAGGTTTTTCAAATTAAGTATAATTCGTGCATTACAGACAGAAAATTAAATCCCCAAATAAAACGTCAATCATTTTATAGCGATCTTAAAAAGAAACAAAGAATAAGCGGAGAAAAATATGTGAATAAAAATGTCTTTCCTTCCTTTTTCAGTTCTTCTCTTAACACACTCCCTATATATATCTTATTCAAATTTCCAATCGTTCATAAAATACTTTCCATTCATCCACTCAAGTTCAAATACATTTTTTTAACTCGTAGTGGATGACACTGGATATTGATACAGTTTATTCAAATATTAATTCAGTAATTAAATTTAATTAATTAATTAATTGTAGTTTTACTTTAGATTTAAGTTGCATATATCTACCCATAGATGGCGCCAGATAAACTTAAAAAATGGATGAAAATTATTTATAAAGGACTTTTCTGTAATACAGTGAAAAAAAAGTTGGAATTGACTATTAAATGTTTTTTATTTTTTTATATTACTTGTTTGCTTTAGTGCCTACGTGTGTGGGTTCGGATACTTCTTTCGGTGAGTCCTGTGTTCGTTGGATGAGCAGCAAAGGAACAGTTCGAGGCAGCTCAATCCAGCTGCAGTTCTCTGCAAATACCGGGAACAAGTGATTCTGCTTTGTGGTCCCCGACCTCCCTTGCCGATGTAGAAAGCTCCATTGAAATACTGCAACCCGATTCCGATTTCTGGTTGCAGACTCCACTCAGGAAGGTAGGCTTTTAGAAAGTTAATCTTTTATTTATTTTTTACTAACCTTAAAGCAGCCTATTAAAATTCACATCGTATTTATTAATTAAGATGAGGAGGCTTAAGGAGTATTCCCCCTGTTGGTACTCCGTAATCCGGTACGCCAGTTGCCAGTTAGCACAAATGTTATATTAACATATAATTGTTTGATATAGAATATTTCACATCCACTTTAGCACACATCAAACACATTTGCTTCAGGATATTGAAGCGAGTGCGATTTTGATTGCCATGGTTCAGGATAAGCAAATTACCACTAAGCTTGATGTCGAAACTGGGCGACTGGAAATTCATTAGTAAGGACAGTTGGACGGTGCTTATTTTTCGATCTGCCCTGCCGCACAAACACCTGCAATGCCGAGGGGAAAACAAACGCTCAAACTGCAATGACTGCAACTGGCGATCGGCTAACAGACAGCAGAATGTTTAGCCAAAATCAAACCCAAAGCTGTTGAATCTGTTATGTTCTTTTTTGTGATATTATTCAGCCATAAGCGGTGACACGGAAATTTGAAGAATATTTTTTAATTTTGTAGGCAAGAATACAAAAATCAAAACAAGATCACAATTAAAATAAGAGAAGAAGGAAAAAAAAAAAAAACACACACAGATATAAATTAATACAACATATTATTTAATATTGGATATGCACATACTTGAGGCAAAGACTGACAACTAGTATTGGAGTGCTTTGGTATTTGGTTTGATTTTTAGTAGTAACCGAGAGAAAAATTAATAAGTCATATTGTTTTATTTTTCTATTTTTTTTTTATTGTTCTTGTTCAACAATCACAGTTTGTTCGAAAGCAATTTTAAAATAGAAACACGTTTTTAGTATTCCCATTAATAAGTAAATTAAAAAAAAAAAACGGCAATGGATTATTATAATTATATTAATAAAATATTAAATAGAATATTTTCTAAATTTTTTAAAAAAGAATCAAAGTAGTATATTAAATAGAACGTTACCAAATTCGTGCTTTTAGATTTATAAAAATCGTGTTTAATCAAATTATTTTTTATTATTCTTAGATGTAAAAAGGAAGAATTCTTCATAAAACTAATTATTAGTAGTTTTAAAATTCATATTAGCTATCTTTTCTCATAAAAAGTTCTTTCACATCTAAATTAGAAAATTCTGAAGGAAATATTTTGGTAATTATTATTATAAGTAAACAATTTACTAAATTTAAATTAAAATTTTTTTCGGTGTTCTTTTTGCTGTAACTGTTCATAATCTGCCATTGGAAATAAAAAAAAAAAAAAAAAAATTACTAAACTGCAGTTTGATCAATGTTCCATATTTTGGAGTTTGGGCATACATTTACATATTTTTTAAAAAAAATAATAATTTATGAAAGAAACAAATTTTTATTAATTTAGATTTAAAAGTAACCACATTTTTAGTAATTTAGATATAAAAGTAAGTATGATTGGAATTTTCAATTTCAATTATTTTCATTGAAACTATTTATTTGTAATTTTAAATTTTCATTTTAAATAACGTCAGTCATTATCAAAAGTTCCTACATATGATATTTTTAAAAATATTTCATTCGATTAAGTTAGTAAAACCTTAAAGGTCTCATATTGGCTATTAAATAAATTAAACAGTTGTTTTATTTAATGGAATGCATGAATTATTGATTATGCATTTCCCTGAACAACAGATGGCGCCACGAGCTACAAAGAGTTGATTGCTTTCAATTGGTTGAATTCCTGAATTTTCCTTAGATGGAGAAAAAGGCTACTTAAAAAGCTTATTTTCCTATAAATGCTGTCCGGGGGTGTAGCTCAGTGGTAGAGCGCTCGCTTCAAAGTGTGCCAGAGATGTCCTGGGTTTCAAAAAATCCCAGCTCCTCCACTTTTGAGATTTCTGATTAATTTTTTTTAGTTCATTATGTTTAATCTTCCTTTTGATTGTATGGATTACGAAATTACAGGATGATTTAACATACATTTATTTATTTTGGTGCTATATAATATATGTAAACTAATTATAATTTATAAAAATAAACAAAACTGAATTTTCTTTTAAAAATGTGAATACTTTTTCCACATAGAAAAATGTAACTGTACTTTTATTTATGTATTAATTTTAAAATTTTTTACCAAGAAACTAAGATATTTATTTACAAAAACTAACAGATCTTTTTGTATTCTAAAATAGTTTAGTAAAAACTAAATGTGGAAATATTTATATTTAAATATATATATATATATTTTAAAATCTCATACTTTTATAATTTATTGTTTAGTTTTTAAACGTATTTGACAGTTATTAAAAAAAAAATAATGTATAAAATAATCAATGAATAAGTTATCTTTTTTCATAAAAATGAAATTTAATTTAAAAATGAGAGATGTAGACTTATAAAAGAAATGCATAACATAAAATTATTTACGCAAGGATTCTGTATAATGTTTATGATTTAAGTTAATATAAAATAACATGCGTAATTTAATATTTGAGGTTATTTATAAAGGAAGCTATCTTAAATAATCAAATAATTTTAATAATAATAATAATTTTCATTCTTTTAAATAAAACAAATGAAAATGAAAAGTTCGTCGATATATATATTATATTGGCATTTTTAAAATAATAGCTTGTAGTAGCAATGATGTTGTTTTTAAATTCCTACTATTAGTTCACACTCTCCCT